TATATATCCAACTGTTTTATATATAAACAACCTGACAACATATAGCTATGGAGAGTCTTTTTCCTACTGTAAATATTCAAAGACTTGCCAGTTTCCAGGGATGAAGAACTGACAGCTATCCTCTCATTTATTACCTATAAAATCTGTGTTATTGCTTAACTGTCATCACCTTGCAGATCCACAGCAAGACAAACAGGAAGGGCAATTTCTTTCCTTATGGACACATACAAAATCACAATCTGATTTATTATTGTGATACACGTAATCAGTTATCACTAGCTTCCGATATTAAATGAAAGACTCGCATAAGGAATATGAAGGTTTGGGACCATTTTTTTTTTCTCCTTCACAAGTCCACAGATGTTTCCACTGTTAACTTCTGACAAAAACAAAATTAGCAAGTGAAGTAATCATTGTAGGAAAAAACTGGCCTCTATGAAAATTAAAGCAGCGAACAGCTATGAAAATGCTTGGAAAGCCATACAGCAGTCCAAACATGGAATGCCACAGGGGCAGAGACAGTCATCCGTTTTGTGCAGTGACGATCCCAATGGTCTAGAACAGAGCCTGACACATGGGAGATACTCGGTAAGCACTTCCTGAACAAATGAAATAGATGGCATCATTAAAAATCGGTAACAAAGATAATGAAGCAGAAATGCATGCAGTGGCATAAATCCCCAAGTTAAAGGGCTCTGTATTTCACCAAGGCACCAATAAAAGGAAGTCTGGGGTTTTCTCATTCAACATTTAGTTTGGTACACTCAACAAGACTGGAAAAAAACTGAGTACTCAATATGCTGAAATGATTAAAAATCCCATTTTGTGATCCACTCACTCCTAAGTAAGGGTCTAAAGGATTAGCAGTGGTTGTTCACTGACATCTCAGAAAGAAATATAAGGAAATACTGTTATCTTTTCAAAAACAGTAGCTCTTCTATACTCTCTATAGAACATCAATCACTATGTCGTCAGTCAGTTAATTTTCAGGTGATAGTAACCTTGTCAGCACTCATTAAAACTTCATAATTCTACACAGCAGCAATGAATTCCCACAACATTTGGTAGGACAAAAATCTGTCACTTAAATAAAACTAGGGCAATGTTCAGAAAATGACATTCTGTGTCAAATTACAAAGATAAATGAACGTAAATGCTGGTTTTAAGCAGCATATTTGCGGGCACAAATATAGAGAGTTTTAATTTTCTTAAGATACTTTTGTAGATTCAAAAATTAAACACACCCCTTACAAGACTATTTTTTGAAATAAAAGGTTATTTGTTCAAAGGAAAATCAACCTAGGAGAATCTCAAATCTTCAATGAGGGCTCAATAAAACACCAGGAAAAAATATGTGCTTAAACTGTATTAGAATACTTCAAAGGGAAATATAAATTCTCATATTCTCTTAACTATTCCAAAAAAAAACCCATTTTTGTATTCTGACACTTTAATAAGTGTACAAGAGTTAATACATCCTTGAAAATTTTTTGTAGTTAGGAGACCCTTTACCCAATAATTGCAATATTTTGAATGAAACAGATATACAAACCTCTTGTTCAGTTATTAAAATATCTGCCTTTGATTTGCATTTGGTTTATTTGAATTTAACCTGTAAAATCTACAAAGGGGAAAAGTAAGTAACTTTCTCTGGTTGAGCAGCCAATCAGGATCAGGGGCAATTTAAGAATCCTTAAAAATAACTTCTATGAACACAATGCCAAACCACTAAAAGTTATGCAAATCACCATTTTTTGTTTGAAAATGTTATTTTTTTGTGACACAACATTATTTACTAAATCTTGTCTAGGTGAACCGGTTTTATACGTTTCTAATTTTCCAAACACTTCAAAAATAAGAGAGTGGCCCAAATTACCAAGGAACATAAACTCTGCCTTTAACAGTATTTTTTCCTTTCCCTAGATGCAAAAGGCTTCCCAGGTTCCTTAGGTTTTACACTGTGTGAATGAGACCGCTCATATAATTATATTTGTTCCATTCTGTTAATAACCATTTCAAGCTGAAAGACCAGGACAGGTTCTAAACATGTTAAGTTCTATACAGCCATTAGCAATAAATTTGATCTGGCAGTTTGCTGGGACAATGGAATCTGCTGAAAAAGCGTCTATTAGTCATTCTGGACAAACCCATCGGGATTAAAAGAATGAGTTAAGATCGCCTAAGGACGCAGCCAAAAAAAATTAATAATAATCCAACTAGATCTCAGCTTCTGAGTTTCCAAAAGGCTTCCCCTTTTTTTCACCGCACATTTCGGCTGCCCCTCCATACGCTTTAGCTAAAATGTGATTAACCCGTCCACATCCTCTGCCCAATCACACCACTTAGGTTTTATGCGAAAATTAAACCAAAATTGTCTTTCTTTTGATAATTTCCCATTTATTGGTGAACTTCCTATCCCAGGTGCCAATTCAGCTGTTTCAGCTCAGCACGAAGAAAAAGTCGTCCTTGATTTCCTTGCGCCTCCGTGATCTCAAATACTGAGCGGAGAAAGCCAAAAGTTTGCGCAACTCTTCTTCCAAAAATCTTTGCGAGCGCTCTTGAACGGCCCCGGCCTTCGCTGCGGACGCAGAAGCAAAGCCCCCGAAGCGGGCCGCGGGAACTGCCCAGAGAGCTGGTGTCCCGCGGCCTCCAGGGCTGGAGGCGGCGAGCAGAAACGCTGAACTTGGGAACAAGACGGGTGCAACTGGTCCAGCGAACCCAGAGATCTCGGGACTAGGGCTGTTCTTTCCCGCTAACCCAATGTGGGGCATTCAGGGTTTCTCCGGAAAGGCCTGAAAATCAAGGCAGCCCTACCACTTGTTGAAAGGAAACAGAGAGGAAGCTGGTGGTATGGGATAGGGGTGGAGAATTGTCACAGTTAGTGGTTGAACCCTATTTACCCGCGAAGTGGCATCCCGACGAAAGCTCGAGACACTCGAGGAAGTCCCAGGCAGGCGGATCCAGCGGGCGCGCTGGAGCCAGAACCACAAGCGCACCCCAGGGCCTCGGATCCCGGACCCGCCGGGCCGGAGGCGCCGGGCGCGGCTGGGGAGGAAAAGAGCTGGCTCACCTGGGGCTGACGGCTGGAAGGTAGAGTCTCGATCCCCCGGAGCCCGGCCCGGCAGCCTGGCATAACCCGTCGACCGAGGGCTGAAACGCGGAAAAGCCCAACGCGTGCCGTACGGCGCTCCGCCGGGGCTGACCGGTTCGGCCGCGGGGCACAGCTTGAGGGGAACGGGGTTGGCCGGCAGGGGCCGGACCTGCGCGCCGGCTGCCGTGGCGGCGGCGGCGGCGGCGGCCACTAGAGCGGACGCCGGGCCGTGGTGCGGGGGGTGGCTGCAACGCGTGCGGCGGGGCGCCCCCGGCCCGCAGCAAGTTCTCGATCAGGAAACTCTTGCCCAAGTTGCCAAAGCCCGGAGCCGCGGGGAAGTTGAGGAGCGCGGAGGACGCCACCACGTCCCAGTACGCGCCGGCGTGGGCCGCCACGGCGCTGGGGGCATCGCGGCGCCCGCCTCCAGCTCCGCGCGCCGCACCGGGCCCGCGCCGCTCCCTCCCGCCGCTGCCTCCCGCCGCAGCCTCCCGTGGAACCGGAGCGCGCTGAGCCCGGGAAGGAGGAGAGGGCACCGAGGACGCCAGCAGGCTTGGAGCGATATTATTTTTTGGGGTTGGGCGTTTTCTTAAAGGATGGGAGGAGTGAATGTGGGAGGGGGAAGCTGTGCGTGTCTCTGGCCCGCGGCGCAAGCTCTGGGGGCGCCGGGGGAGTCCCTCCTGCTCCCTATGCAGATCCGGATGGTCTCTCTCTCTCTCTCTCTCTCTCTCTCTCTCTCTCTCTCAGAAGGCTGGAAGGTGTGTCCAGCCCATCCATTCATGTCACCCGGCCCACAAAGTGACAGACGCGGCCAACAATAAGGGCGGCCCCAGAGTCTGAGCTTTGGCAAAGGGAGGGGACGCGTAGCGGGAAGGTGGGCGTGGAGGCCGCGTGAACCGGCCGCGCTCATCCCCTCCCGGCGGCCGGAGCCCTAGCTCTGGAGCCCACGCAGCCCCCCGGAGCGCCAGGGCGCGCGACCGTGGGCGAGGAGTGCCCCGGGGGCGGGCGGCACTCTCTTCTGGAGACCGTTCGGCAGACCACCTGTTGGGCAACCCCCGGCTCTCCAGTGTTGATGTCACTTTCAGGAACCGACGGGCATCCTGGGGAAGCTAACAGGCACTAGAGGCTTGAAGGACTGTAGTCATCAAATAGAGTCGCGACTGTTACTGGGACTGTTGTGGTCCCGCAGATAGATGCGAAGTTTTAAAGAGTGGGTTGCATATGAGATGTGTTCCCCTTTCTTAAGGCAAAGAAAGTGAGTTTTTCTTGGAGACCTTTTAAGAAATTTCAGAGGTTCTAGTAGCTCGTTTCCAATCGCTTTTCTAAGATCATTTAGGAATCACTCCAGAAGAAATGTTCCGATAAATTTTGATCTAGAGAAAGGGATCTTAGTTGGAGGTGGTTAAATATTTGGGTCCAAAACCCGGCAAGAAAAGCCACCACCAACTTTTCCTAACAGAACATGGTTGGGTCCTCCTCCACAGAGCCCAGGATGAGAACACTGGATTATTTAGGATTACAGTTGCTCTTTTATCCCCCCTAGAAATCTGGGTAGTTTCCAGTTTATTAACAGCCTGCTAGAGACTGGGCAGAAGAAAAAAGGGTGTGTGTGTGTGTGTGTGTGTGTGTGTGTGTGTGTAGTTAAAAGTTCCTTTAACCACAAGGCAATTTAAAGCTCCTCATTTTAGAAATTGTATCAATGGAATTTTAAAACGGTGACTTCTCTGTCGATTAACAATTCCCATTGCTACACTCCTGTGCAAATTCAGGTGAATTTACTTAAAATAAGATTTTTAAAAGATTGTGAAAGGTTTGGAGTTACATGTATAGTTTTCCTCTGTATCCTAACAATAATATGGTTCCTAGTTTCAATTTACTTAAAAGCTAGACAGAGTTGCCAGGCTAGTAAGATAAATTTCCTTTTAAAAATTCACCTGGTTGATTTGTGTTTCATTTACTCTAAGGATGTCCAAAGCTTTCTAGAAATCCACCCTCCCTACCTGCTGCCAAACGGAAGGAAAGTTATTTGCAAGGTTGGTGTATGTTACTAATATTTGTTCACTTACTGATTTAGTCAACAAACTTTTCCTGAACATTTCATATTTATGGAGCACTTTTGGTGGTCCTGGGAATATATAGAGAAAAGTCTGGTCCTTGCTTTGTAGGGGTTCACAGCTTAGTGAGGGAGAAAAACAAGTAATATCTGAGAAAGGGATTGTAATTTAGAAGGAAAAGTGAGAGAAAATCTCCAGAGTAAGATTCCTGTAAACTGAGTCTTAAAAGTTAGGGATGGGCTCTGAAGTAGTAACCTTTGAGATTAGCAAGGAAAAGAGAAATTATATCATCCCTGCCAGTCCTAAATCATAGCCACCATTTATTCAGTGTTTACATTTGGCCAATTATACACTAAACAGTTTGTCCATATTAACTTGTAAACTTCATAATAATTCTATAAGCTTGGTACTGTTTTTATCCCAGTATTACTGACGGGGCACAGAAAATTTAAGTAACTTTCCTAAAACAACACCACCACCAGAGTGATAAGGTTAAGATACTATCTAAGCCGGATGATTCCAAAGCCTTAGAACCTTTAATTTTTTTTTTTTTACATTTATTTATTTTTGAGAAACAGAGTGAGACAAAGCGTGAGTGGGGGAGGGGCACAGAGAGAAGGAGACACAGAATCTGAAGCAGGCTCCAGGCTCTGAGCAAGCAGTCAGCACAGAGCCTGATGCGGGCTCGAACCCACAAACTGTGAGATCATGCCCTGAGCCGAAGCTGGACGCTCAACCAACTGAGCCACCCAGGCACCCCAAAGCCTTAGAACCTTTAAATTCAACTCCAGTCTCTTCACAGACCTATTTGCCATGCTAAATGGTGTCACCTGGCCATGCAAAGGAGGCTAAGAAATCAGTATCCTGTTGTTCTATGACAATGCAGACTCGAGTCAAGAGGAACTGTTGGTTCACCCAACTTGCCATAGATAGGAGAGAACTGGAGAAATCCAGACACAAAATGATGTGGAATTTATAGAATTAATGGCAAAAAAACAAAATGGAGAGGATAAATATTACAAAGGTTCAATCTATAGGAACGGATGATGCAGTTCTCAACTGGAGGTGATCCCTTCCTACTCAAGAGACATTTGGCAATGCCTGGGCATACTGTTGGCTGCCGTAACTTGATGAGAGGATGGGGCGGTTAGACACTGGCACCTACTAGCAGGAAGCCAGGGATGCTGCTAAACATCCTACAATTCACAGGACAACAAAGGATTACCCAGCCTGAAATGTCAATAGTGTGGTGGTTGAGAAACCTTGGTTATAGAGGAAAAGGGGAGAATGTAGGATCGCTTCTAGTTTTCTGGTTTAATGACTGAGTAGACCTACTTCATCAGGATGGGGACTTATAAGATGAAGAGCAGGTTTTACATGGACGTGTGAACAGAATGATGGAGATAGATGTTCTGGTTGTTTGTGAGAACATCCAGGGGGAATGGTATAGTGAGAAGAAAAATAAGCCAAGAGACAAAGGCTGGGGAATATCAATGTTAAGAGGATGGATAAAAGAAAGAAGAGTCTTGAAGGAGACTGAAAATGAGCAGTGAAGATTTGAAAACTGAAACCAGAAGAGAGAATGGAGCCTTGGAAGTCAAGGGAGAGAAAGTTTCAAAAAGGAGGAATGACAGATGTTGGTTAAGAATAACTGCTGGTTATGCCCAGCAGTTTCTTTTTCCAACTGGACAGACAGCTCCAGTGCATTTCCCAGTCTGCCTTTCAGACTGTGTATGGTCGGAATAAGAGGAGAAGCGATATAGTTCTCCTCCCATTCTGTCCCCTAAGGATTCACACAGTCCTCCACTCTTTGTTCTTCAGCTCCCAGATGCAGAGGTCCAGGGGATGAAGATGTCCCTAGGGCATGATGGAACCACAAGATGAAAGCAGCCTATGTCCCTGAATCACCACAGAGAAGGCACACAAAGATGAGTATTTACATAAGCAGATCATGACATAAGCAAAAATAAACACTTATTGGGTAATGCCATTAAGATTTAGGAGTTGGTCTCCACAGCCTATCCCACCTACCTTAATTAATATACTAACTCTGTAAATGCCTCAGATTGGAAAAATAGTAATTTGATTCTTAGTGACTTGGGCAAAAGCCTTTTCAAGGGAAGCAAAAGAAGTAGACATCAGTTTGTGCATGACTGAAGATGCATATAGAAGGTAAGAAAGTAGAGAGAGACAAGTTGAAGAAACAGGGGAAAGCTTAAGGGTGTTAATCGGGTAAAAAAAAAAAAAGGCATGAAAATATTATAAGGTAAGAGAAACGAGGCTGGAGATAAAAGTGTGTTTGATGGAGCAAAGAGAGGTGGTAAGCCCAGCACAAGCTGTGTGGGCTCTTTACCTCTTGGTAAAGAAGTGTTCCAGGCCTAAAACCAAGTGAGCAGAATTCCGCATTCTTATGCAGAATGGAGCCCAAGACTTAATTCTCACCCAGCCCTGTGTTCAGTCACTGATTTAGAGAACTCCTTGCCTAAATCCAACTATGATCTTAGCAGCATCCTGGGACTGGAACGCTGTCACAGTTCCTGAAGTGAATCTTTCACACTGGATGTGAACTTGAAAGGGCTGAGAGATGGACATCATTGAGCTTATAAACATATTATAGGACTGTTTCTGTATGGGCTTACACATAAATGTTTAAATGTGTCGTAGAATTCATTCTGACATTTGCCTTCATACTTGGTCATGGGGCTATGGGGATGGCTCTAAACCTCTTAATCTGCTTAATTAGCTATTTGAAGCTCCTGATAACTTATGAAAAAGAACTTAATCGTTGAGAAAGCCTAATAGGCTCAGGCCATTTTGCTGCAGTGTTTCATTCCTTGAAGAAGCACTTTGGTCTGTGCTGAGATCTAGTCCAAAAAAAAAAAAAAAGCATCAACACAAAATCACATGCCTTCAGCGTCAGACGGATGAGACCTATGGGCTAGAGAGGTGTAAAGTAACAGAATGTGAGTTAGCTATTAAAGAGGGGGCGGGGTGGAGTCGGAGGCTGCTAAGCAAAGCATGTGCGTAGAACTATTTGTATGGGTAGACCTGTTTGTCACTGGTCTGAAGAAGAAGGCTGGGGCCAGACTGTGTCTTATAGGTAGCGCACAGGATTTTGGATTTTGCCCTTGAATCAATGACATGTGTGCACAAGAAAAAAAAAATGTAACTATATGTGGTGATGGATGTCAACTTAAACTTATTGTGGTAATCATTTTACTGTATATATCAAATCATTATGCTATACACCTAAAACTAATACAGTTCTATATGTCAATTATACCTCAATTTAAAATTGAGATATAATTTAAATTAAAATGCAATTTAAAATGCAAATGTGATCTCATATTTGCATTTCAAAGGACCACTACTGTGGTATGGAGGCTGTGCCAGGATCTGGAGAAGGTGCTGACTAGAGATGTACAAGTAATTCAGAAAAGAGATCCTGGGACTTTGGGCTGGGTTTGTGGCATGACCGTGGAGAGAAGCAGGAGAATATAGAGCCGTCTAGAAGATAACTGTAAATTTAGAGTGTGAGGAAGTCTTGTCTCCGTCAGAACCAGCGTGCTTGGTTTTATCAGACTGTGGGAAATATATAGCCCATTGTGTTTCCTGATATGTTTTGAATGCCAAGAAGTTGAGCTAATTTTAGAATTTAATTGCAGTAACTCTCTTAGCCTGTATTTCTGTTATCTCCACCTTCAGTTCACTTTAGATCTTTTGTGTTTATTTTGATGGCCCTGTTATATGTGAATCCATTTAGTGCAACTCCTCCAACCCTATAAATAATAAGCAAATACAACAAGCAGGTAAATATTTTTTCTTTTAAACACACATGCTTATTCTAAGAAGTAGAATTCTGTAGTGGAATCTAAAGAAGCTTCCCTAATTCCTCTATGATCAGTTGAATTCTCCCTTGGGGCAGGAGAGTCTCTGTGCTTGGTGGAGAGAGAAACTTGGAGCCCAGGTAATATGCACTCTGGATTGCTGACCTCACTGGCACCTCTGAGCACCTACTCCAACAATCAGACATTTTTGAAGAGAAGATGTAATTGTGAGGAATTAGTTCTGTTCTCAACTGAAAGGAGGAGATTCAAGAATATCCTTGTAGCCTTCTTAGTAACCACTGGAAATCTGGCTGGTGCAGGGTTACTCAGGGAGAAATAAATTATTTCCCAAGAACCGCTAACTATGTAGAATCGCTCCACTGCTCAACACCCACTCACGACTCAGAACCTGAGGCAGATTACATCTTAATCCTTAAATTAGAGAAAAAAATATTTTTAAAACGCACAGGAATATGTTAAGAGGTACATTCAACCAATTCAACAATAATTACTCAATTAAATTCTATACAGTAATGTACTTTCTTAAGTATTCTCCCATTCCCTCTGCCCCGCCCCATCCCCAAATACTCTTGGCTCTTCAAAATAAATTCTAAAACTCTGGCTTACCTCTGAAAGACATTTATAAATATGTTTCAGTTTTGATCTGGCAGGACTCATGCTCTCATTGTCCTCCTTTTCCTGCACATGTCTTTTCTGGCTGGCTCTGTGGGCTTTTTGTGTATTATTTTGCCATGCCTCAGGCATTGTTCATCTCCGTGCCCTGCATGCTACCTTCAAGCTCTATTTTACTGACTCTCTTCTGTAACTGGGAGACTTCCCAGTTTCTTTCCAGGCTATTCAACTTCTTTGGCATTCCTTGCTCGTTGATCATTTCTAACCACTTTTCCACTTGTACTGCTTGGCCCAAAGTGGAATGGGAGACTACTGAATGATTTTGAGGAAATTACTCTGGATGTTGCTGAGCGGTAGTCTTTTCGACTGTCCCTCATTGTCTCAGTGTCCCCACAGCCACAGGTGCCCCTCATTCATATTGAAATCCTACAGTTTTCTGGTTTGCCCTCAATCACTGCTTTGGACAAAAGGGAGGACACACATCCACATCGCACTGTGAATTTTGTCCTGTTCCCCAATGTTTACAACCAAAATAGTCCCTTCACACGAACATTAAGTGGTTTTTTTGCATTTACTGCCAAAAGTATGAAGTACACACAGAGAAGTTAATCCCTTATGAAACTGCTCTAAGGCTATGAACCCAGACTCTCTGAACCAAATTTAGACGTGTCAGCCTCCTTGCTTTAAAGTGTCATTTCTCTGGCGAGGATTTGTCTCGTGTAAAATGTAATAAGCATTTTAGGCAAATAAAATTAATCCCCAGAGGTTTTTTTTTCTTTCCTAGCCCCCCTGTTCTCTATTGAGTTTCCCAGCTTTGATTTATCTGGAAAGTAGAGTAATATTACAAAGCTTCTGAAGTAAGCATTGCTTGACAGCCGACCATTTAAATTGCGTGGTGTAACTCTCAAGTGACCCTCCTTATGTCACTCAAATATTCTCTCTTGTTTTCAGGCTCATGCATATATTTCACTCTCCTCATCATTTCATCTACACATCTTCCCCAGCCCCAATCCAACACCTCTGGTCCAACTACACTTCTTTCTTTTAACTTAAGCACAACCAACCTCAGGAGCTTCCTGAGTGAAATCTGAAACTGGCCCCCAGAACAAGAAGGGCAAGGAGAGACCTAAGAAAGAGACCACTCCATATAGGGCAGTGGCAGATTGGATAAGCCAAGGCATACCATACGAGATTTCTCTCAGGTGGCCACAAGACCAGTAGATCTCTGCATCCATCCACCAAATTTTAAAAGTTTATATAGAGTCTTTAACTGGGTTCAGGCATGTTATACTATCCAGATATTCTCAATACATTGACCTCTGAAGGCCATGTCCTTGAAAACACCTTCCACAATGGGAACAGTGGGGAGAGTATATACTCCAAGCACAGGGGGTGGGGGTGGGTGGGGGTGAGGAGCTTCTGATTGCCCATGCCCAGTGTTTAGTTCTATGGTCAACTGGCAATCATGCACATTCAGTTACCTCCTCCAGAACACCAACTCATGACTGGCTCTCATAGTCTTACATACCTTCCTCTTCCATGGTGTGTCTTGAGCAGTCAGCAGGTTTCACTAACATGGAAGTGAGTTGTCTGGTGGCTATCTGGCTGCACTGGATAGCCATTGTAGCTCTCTGCGGTAACTGTAGGCCAATATCACAACATCAGTAGAGGCACATGCAAGAGAAAACACGGATCATGATAAGGATTCCCAAATTAAGTAACATTTTTTTTTCCACCAAGAGTCCCATGATCCAAACCATTGATTGCTAAGTCCCTTAGGCTATGGGTTGGATCACTCAAGGAGTTCACTTGTATCCTCATATGATTTAGTAAAGATGACACATTAGTATACTTATCAGGTATGGACACACAGCACTTTGTTTGGATAATGGCATAGGTGCCTATTACAAGGCATTAGTAATGTCTAAGGCCATTCTATTTTGGAAGACAGTTTTTCTCATTAAAAACATTTCAGTGTTCAGTTAAGGACAGGCTTTGTTAGCCATCATTTAAGGTTTGCTGGGTGAATTTGATAAGGGCTTCTAAACGTGCTGTAATTATTCCTGGCCAATGGAGGAAACAAAGATGGTGGCCAAATGATTGTACTGGTGGAAAACAGGAATTCATGGACTGGTGGACTTTCAAGTTATAAGGGTGTTCACATCATCTTTAGTTGTGGTAGCATCATTACTAGGGTAAGATAGTGGTTGATTTCTTGACACTTTAGGTATGTTATACTTTTGGGGTGAATTTGCCCCTGACTAGCTGACTTTTAGCTGCAGGTTGCTGATAATATTTGGTTGACTTGCAAAAGTGCATTCACTAAGAGGAGTTATTGTTTTTCTATTGAATAGGGTTAAAACTGATTCAGGTGGCTACTTGTTCCCATGGTTATACAACAGTCACTTTAGATAAAGCTTGTGGAAACTTTAAATTCTCAATTCTCCCTTTTTCTCATTCATCCAGAGCTCTAGAAGAGATAATCAAAGATTTTCTAGATCTTACCACAGTTGTTGATTCTATTTAAAGCTATGGTTTATAGAGATAGGATTTTTAGGTGGAGCATTAGTGTGATATTATCCTGTGTTTGTCTGGAATCATTTTAGTCATCTGTCAAGATGGTGATTATGCAGAAATATTTAAGACTCTGGACAACAGACATCAGATATCTATGAGACAAGTAAATATAAATATTTAAGAAGGCATCAGAAGATTCTTTAGAACTAGGTCTGATTGAGTAAACAATTCCCAAAAATTTCCTATGACCATCTTAAATAGCTAGGTGGCCTTTTTTAAAAAATTTCAGTGTAGCTAATATATAGTGTTATATTATTTACATGTATATAATATAGTGATTCAACAATTCTATGCATTACTCAATGCTCATCATGATAAGTATACTCTTAATATCCATTCTCCCACTCACCTTCCCTCTGGTAACCATCAGTTTGTTCTTTATAGTTAAGTCTGTTTTTTGGATTCTCTCTCTCTCTCTTTTTTCTGCTTTTTTTCTTTTGTCTCTTAAATCATATGGTATTTGTCTTTCTCTAACTGACTTATTTCACTTAGTATTATATTCTCTAGATCCATCCATGTTGTTGGAAATGGCAAGATTTCATTCTTTTTTATGGCTGAGTAATATTCCAGTGTGTGTGTGGGGGGGGGAGGGAGACAGAGAGAGAGAATATGTGTGTGTATACTACATCTTCTTTATCCACTCATCTATTGATGGAAATTTGGGCTGCTTCCATATTTTGGCTATTGTAAATAATGCTGCAATAAACACAGGGATGCATGTACCCTTTGAATTAATGTTTTTGTATTTTTTGGGTAAAAACCCAGTAGTGTGATTCATGGATCATAAGTTAGTTCTGTTTTTAACTTTTTGAGGAACCTCCATACTGTTTTCCACAACAGCTGCACCAGTTCACATTCTCGACAGTGCAAGGGGATTCCTTTTTCTCCACCTCCTTGCCATAACCTGTCATTTCTGTTGTTGATTTTAGCCATTCTGATGAGTCATCATTTTCCTGACGACGTGTGATGTTGAGCATCTTTTCATGTGTCTGTTGGCCATCCATAAGTCTTCTTCGGAAAAATGCCTAATGATGTTTTCTGCCTATTTTTAAATTGGATTTTTTTGTGTGTGTGGAGTTATTGAAGTTCTTTCTCTGTTTTATTGGATATATCATTTGCAGATATCTTCTCCCATTCAGTAGGTTGTCTTTTAATTTTGTTGACTATTTCCTTTTCTGTGCAGAAGCTTTTTATTTTGATGTGGTCCTAATAGTTTATTTTGTTTTTGTTTCCCTTACCTCAGGGTCCAATCTAGAAAAAAGTTGCTATGGATGATGTCAAAAAAAGGTATTGCCTGTGTTGTTTTCTAGGAATTTTGTGGCTTCAGGTCTCACATTTGGATCTTTAATACATTTTGAATTTGTCTTTGTGTATGGTTTAAGAAAGTGGTGCAGTTTCTTTCTTTTGTGTGTTGTCCAGTTTTCCCAACATCAGTTGTTGAAGAAACAGTCCTTTTCCCATTAGATATTCTTTCCTGCTTTGTTTAAGATTAATTGACCATGTAGTGTGAGTTTATTTCTGGGGTTTCTGTTTTGTTCCATTGATCCATGTGTCATTTTTATGCCAGTACCATACTGTCTTGATGACTATAGCTTTGTAATATAACTTGTGGTACCTCCAGCTTTGTTTTCCTTTTTCTTTTTTTTTTAAGTTTGTTTGCTTGTTTGTTTATTATGAGAGAGACAGGGGGGTGGTGAGCATAGGTCAGAAAGAAATGGAGAGAGAGAGAGAGAGAGAGAGAGAGAGAGAGAGAGAGAATGAATCCCAAGCAGGCTCCACACCACCAATGCAGAGCCCAATGTGGGGCTTGAATTCACGAACAATGAGATCATGACCTGAGCCAAAATCAAGAGTCAGATGCTTAATTGACTGAGCCACTCAGGCACCTGTTTTTCTTTTCAAGATTGCTTTTGCTATTTGAGGTCTTTGTCATTCCATACAAATTTTAGGATAGCTTGTTCCAGTTCTGTGAAAAATGCCGTTGGTATTTTGATAGGGATTGCATTAAATGTGAGATGGATTTGGGTAGTATAGACATTTTGACAATATTTGTTCTTCCAATCCATAAGCATGAAATATCTTTCCATTTCTTTGTGTCAGCTTCAGTTTCTTTCATCAGTGTTTTATAATTTTCAGAGTACAGGTCTTTCACCCCTTTGATTAGTTTTATACCTAGGTGTCCTATTTTTGATGCAGTTGTACATGGGATTATTTTCTTAATCTCTCCTGCTGCTTCATTTTTGATGTATATAAATGCATTTCTGTACTTTGATTTTGTATCCTGTAACTTTACTGAGTTAATTTATGGGTTCTAGTAGTTTTTTGGTAGAGTCTTCTGGGTTTTCTACATAGAGTAACATGTCATCTGCAAATAGTGAACATTTTACTTCTTCTTTACTGATTTGGATGTCTTTTATTCTTTTTGCTGTCTGATTGCTGTGGCTAGGACTTCCAGTACTATGTCAAACAAAAGTGGTAAGATTTGACATCCTTGTCCTGTTCCTGACCTTAGAGGAAAACCTCTCAGCTTTTCCCATTAAGGATGATGTTAGCTGTGAGTTTTTCATATATGGCCTTTATTATGTTGAGGTATGTTCCCTCCAAACATACTTTGTTGAGAGTTTTTATAATGAATGGATGTTGTCAAATGCTTTTTCTACATATACTGAAATGATCATGTGGTTCTTATCTTTTACATTACATATGTGCCATATCATGTTGATTGATTTGTGAATATTGAAACATCATTGTATCCTAAGAATAAATCCCATTTGACCATAATGAATGATCTTTTTAATGTACTGTTGTTGTGGTTTGCTGATATTTCCTTGAGGGTTTCTGCACCTATGTTCAACAGAGATGTTGGCCTATAGTTCTCTTTTTCTTTTTGTAGTATCTTTACCTGGTTTTGGTATCAGGGTAATTCTGGCCTCATAGAATGAATTTGGAAGTTTTCCTTCCTCTTCTATTTTTTAGAATAGTTTGAGAAGAAGAGGTATTAACTCTTTTTTAAATGTCTGATAGAATTCACCTGTTAAGCCATCTGGTTCTGGGCTTTTTGTTTGTTGGGAGTTTTTTGATTATTGACTCAGTTTCCTTGCTGGTAATTGGTCTGCTCAAATTTCCTACTTCTTTCTACTTCATTGTTGGAAGGTTCTATGTTTCTATGAATTTGTCCATTTTTTCTAGGTTGACCAATTTGCTGGCATATAATTTTTCATAATCTCTCATAATCCTTTGTATTTCTGTGGTGTTGGTTATTATTTCTCCTTTTACACTGTGATTTTGTTTATTTGAGTTCTCTCTCTCTCTCTAAATATTTATCAATTTTGTTGATCTTTTCAAAGAACTAGCTCCTGGTTTCATTGAGTTTCTCTATCATTTATTTCTGTTCTCATCCATATTATTTCCTTCCATCTACTGGTTTTGGATTTTGTTTGTTGTTCTTTTTCTAGGTCCTATAGGTGTAAGGTTAGGTTGTTTATTGGAGATTTTTCTTGCTTCTTGAGGTAGGCCTGTATTTCTATAAACTTCCCTCTTAGGACCACTTTTGCTGCATTCCAAAGATCTTGGACCATTGTGTTTTCATTTTCATTTGTCTCCATGTATTTTTTTATTTCCTCTTTGATTTCTTGGTAGACTCATACATTATTTAATAGTATGCTATGTCACCTCCCTGTATTTGTTCTGTTTCCACATTTTTTTCTTGCGGTTGATTGCTAGTTTTACAGCTTTGTGTTGAGAAAAGATGCATGGTGTGACTTCAATCTTTTTAATTTGTTAAGATTTGTTTTAGGGCCTAATATGTGGTCTGTTTTGGAGAATATTCCATGTGCACTTGAAAAGAATGTGTATTCTGCTGTTTTAGGATAGAATGATCTGAATATATCTGTTAAGTCCATCTGTTCCAATATGCCATTGAGGTCATCATTGCCTTATAGATTTTCTGTTTGGATGATCTGTTCATTGATGTAGGTGGGGTGTTAAAGTTCCCTACTACTAATGTGCTACTATCAGTTCCTTTATGCTGGTTATTAACTGTTTTATGTATTTGGGCGATTCTGTTTTAGGTGCATACATATTTAGAGTTGTTATATCTTCATGTTGTTTGTCCCCCTTTGTGATTATATAATGTTCTTGTTTGTCTCTTGTTACAGTCTTTGTTATAAAGTCTACTTTGTCAGATATAAGTATTGCCAACCCAGCTTTATTTTCATAGCCATTTGCATGGTAGATGTTTCTCCATCCCCTCACTTTCAATCTGCAGGTGTCATAGGTCTGAAATGAGTCTCTTGTATGCGGCATATAGATGGGTCTTGTTTTTTATCCATTCTGTCACCCTGTGTCTTTTGATTGGAGTGTTTAGTCCATTTACAGTCAAAGTAATTACTGATGGATATGTATCTTTTGCCATTCTATGCCATCTTATTGCCATTCTATTACTTGTTTTATGGTTATTGTTGTAATTCTTCTCTATTCGTTTCTTTCCTTGTTTTCTTGTCTCACCATAAGCTGCCTCTTTTAGTGATATACTTGGATTTCTTTCTCTCTTTTTTTTTGCATATCTTTTACTAGTTTTTGATTTGTGGTTACCATTAGGTTTGTATATAATGTCTTCTGCATATAGCAGTCTATATTAAGTTGTTGGTCATGTAAGTTTGAACACATTGTTTACTCCTCCCCCCTCGCGCCCCCTCCCCCATTTTAGATAGATGGTGGGAGTCCCTTGGCTGATTTTGCCTTTGTGCTTCCTACATTTCTTGTTCTCACATATGGTCTTTCCTTTCCACTCAGAGTCCCCTTTAATATATCTTGTAGGGATGGTTAGTGATTGTGAATTCTTTTAACCTTTGTTTGTCTGGGAAACTCTTTATCTCTTCTATTATGAAAGATAGCCTTGCTGGATAGAGTATTCTTGGATGCAGATTTTTCCCTTTTGGCAATTCGAATATATCATGCCACTCCCTTCTGGCCTGCAGAGTTTCTGTAGAAAAATCTGATGATAGCCTATGGAGTTTCCCTTTTATGAAACTGTTTTGATTTTTCTTTATGCTTTTAAAATCCAATCTGTATCAGTACTTTTCATCAGTTAATTACTATGTGTCTTGGTATAGACCTCCTTGGGTTGATTTTGTTGGGGGCTCTGTGGCTCCTGGATCTGAATTTCTGTTTCCTTCCCCAGATTTGGAGAGTTTTCAGCTATTATTTTTTCCAATAGATTTTCTGCCTCCTTTGCTATCCCTTCTCCTTCTAGGATCCCTGTAATGCAAATGTTAGTATACTTGATGAGTTGCTGAGTTCCCTAAGTCTATCCTCATTTTGCATATTTTATTTCCTCTCTCACCTGCTCAGCTTGACTGTTTTCCCTTACTCTGTCGTCTGGGTCACGATTCATTCTACTTCCTGTAGTCTGCTATTTATTTCATCTAGCATGTTTTTAATTTCATTTATTGTGTTTTTCATCTCTGGTTCTTTTTTATCTCTTTGTTAAGGGTCTCACTGATGCCCTCCACTCTTTTCTCAAGTCTAGTGAGTATATTTATGACCATTACTTTAAATTCTCTATCAGGCATCTTACTTATCTTTGTTTCACTTAGGTCTCTTGCTATGGTTTTGCCCTGTTTTTTTCATTTGGGACATATTCCTCTGTCTCTTTCTGTGTGTTATGAAAGTCAGCCACTTCTGCTTTTGAAAATAGTGGCCTTATGAAGAAGAGGTCCTGTAGTGGCCTTGCAATGGAGTGTCTCCTGATTATCAGAAGCTGGCAGTTTAGGATGTCTCCTATGTGTGTTATTTGCACTCTGCTGTTGGGGCTGATCTGCTTTTTCCTTCAGTCCAGTCAGCTGCAATGGCTCTCTTTGACTGTTCTGGGCGGGGTTTGGTCCCTGCGATGATAGTGGACTAGGCTAGAGCTGCCTTGGGCTTGAATTGAGTTAGACCAGAGACACAGTAGCACCATACCACAAGGTGCTTTCCC